CAGAAGTGTGACCCACTCTTAAATATAACTGACTTTGTGTCCTCCACAATCTGGAGAAACTACAGTTACAGAAAACACAATGTCCTGTAAAGCAGACAAGGATGCAGCAAAGGATAAGGACTGAGAAAACTGTCCTCACAGTTAGTGGTCTGGGGAAAACTTCGGTGCAAAGGTATCAGTATCCAGGCTGCACTTGACTAAGAAACACTGAAATACGCCTGCCCATCTGCTTCCATGCTCCTGGCTCTGATGATCATAGACTCACGCTCTGAAACTGTAAGCAAGCCCCCAACGAAATGCTTTCTTGTATTTAAAACAAAGCACTGAGATAATAAAGGTCTTAAGCATAGACCACTCTTTCAAGACATCCAGCTGAAAGAAAGGACAATAATGTTTCACTTCAGCTCTAGCGGGGCATTCCTGCCACAAGAGAGAATGTCCCTTCTGCAGGGAGCAAAGGTCAAGCTGCAAAGACCCTCAGCACAATGGAACTCCAGAGAGGGGTGTGCTGGGAACAGAGCAGAACCTGAGCGGGGAATTTCTATTCCTGTCTTCTCTGCTTGGCCTTTTGGGATGGAAACAAATGTATTTCTTGGGGTCTATTTGTTTCTTGACTTTCAGAATACATTTTTCTTTTTATGAAAGTCAGTGGGAAAAATACAATTCCCTTTCCAGTGTTTTAAAAATCACTTTTCTGGAACGTATCTACTTAACTGACAATTTAATAACAAACTCTCAGTAAGATGACAGATGTTTAGATATACAATGATAAAACGAAGTTTCGTCTTTGTTTTAGCAATTACTTTTATCATTTAAGAGAACCAAGTTTATTTCTATTGGTGCTCATAATGCTGAGGGGTTTTATAGTGAAGATCTGAGGTTTCCAGCAGGAAAACCCCTCTCATAAATTTAAACACAAGCGGATCCTCAGTCTAGAATCAAAATCTGTTTAATGTCTCAAAAACCCCAGAAGCCTCAGTTACAGGCAGACAATTCATACTTTAGGAAAACTTAGAGCAGAGGGCTGGGGAGTCCTGAGGAGTTAGTTCAGTGTACATTTTGCAGTCCTGACTGCTTTCCCCAGCCCAGGCATTTGAGATAACAGAATGTGACTGTTTCATGACAAGCTGGATGATAGGCAGCTTTCAAATACTGACGTCTTGGTGTACTTAAAACTTCCAATTCTTTTTCTTACTTCTCATGGCTACGGATCTGTCCATGGGAACGAGACCCACAAGAAATTATGGCTAGTGACACACAGCAGAAGTGGGTAGCCACACTGTTATCTTTAACTAACTGAAGTTGGCACGGGGATAGAGCATGAGCTGACCCTGCTAACAATCGACTGTTTCTTTCCTCCCCTCAACCCCCACCTCCCCTGTCTGGAGTTTGGGCATAAAGAAACCCATTTTATCTTTTTTGGATAGGGGGGGTTGATAGGAAAAAATCAAACATTTAAATTTGAATTCTTCATGGAGTTACTCATGGGTTTTGTTTTTTTAATTTCTGGCTTTGGTTATTTTTCAAAAATAGAGCTCTTTAGAAAAGTAAAGTTTATTGATTTTTAAAGAGTCCAGTGTTCAGCTATAAAAATTGATTTATGCTCTGTGATATCATCATAAGGTTTATCATTAAAACACAGTGTAAGTCGTCATCCAGATCATCTGTGCACTCTGGCTCTTCTTAGTTCACAATATGAATTAGTACTTGTGTCAGTGTACTTATGAGTAAGGAACTCCAAACTAAACACACTTGATAGTATCACACACAGGGTTGCGGAAAGAAAACCGAGGCAAGGAGCCCAGCATGGTGGTGTGTCCCAGCACTGGGCAAACTAAGGAAGGAGGATTCGGTTCAAAGCCAGCCAATTGGGGGGGGGGGGGGTAAGAAATCCCTGGACAACCCGACTTTGTAAATAATGTGGGAAGTTATGAAGCAAGATACCTAACAATGTCAACCTCACGTCTTCATATGCATCATACCTATAAATACATGTGCTCATGTACAGTCAAACATGCATGCACATACATATACACATACCACACAATACATATGTTAAAAAGAGAGAGGATAAAAGAAAGTGGGGAGCTTGGTCTGCTGGCAGTGGTCCAGAGGGTGCCTGGACCGGTCTACTCTGGTGACCAGCCTAGCAAATAACCTAGCTGTCATCATAGAGCCTTTATCCAGTGACAGATGGAGGCAGATATAGAGATCCACGGCCAGGCACCAGGCTGAGCTCCGGGAATCCAATTGATGAGAGAGAGGAGAGATACTGCAGGTGAGGGACGTCGAGATCATGATGGGAGGACGTGCAGAGATGACTGGCCACACTGGTGGAAGCCCATGAACTGTAGACTGGTGGCTGTGGAGCCCCCATCGGACTGGACTAGGCCCTCTGGATACGGAAGATGGTTGTTTGGCTCAAACTGTTTGGGGGGCTCCAAGGCAGGGGGATCGGGATCTGTCCCTGGTCTATGAGCAGGCTTCTGGAGTCCAGTGCCTGTGGTGTGACACCTTGCACAGTCTTGGTGCAGTGGGAAGGGGTTTGGACCTGCCTAAGCTCAGTGTGCTGGGCTTTGCTGACTCCCCATAGGAGACCTCGATTTGGGGGATGTGGGGTTGCGGGGTAGCTTGGGAAAGAGGGCTGGGGGTGGGAGGAGGGAGGAGGGGGATGGGGATAGTATGTGGAGTGAGTAGAAAATTTCTTAATAAAGAAAAATGAAAAAAAAAAGATTTTCCCAAGTAAAAAAAAAAAAGAAAGAAAGTGGGGAGAAGAGAGAAGATAGAAAGGTAGGAAGGCAGGGGCTGGAATTAATAGTCAAACACCAGAACGGTTTCAAAGCAGCAACTTCTACTCAAAATGGGTTGGGCATTGTCTACAAAGAGTTAGCACATCCTATGAATAAGTGCATCTTCTCTGACGTCAGATGTCTGCATCTGAATTCCAGCCCTAGTCCTTCTCAGAGACGGGGCAACTGGAGGTGAATGTTTTGGTTCCTGTGTGATAAACAGTGGTTACACAACTCGTTGCTAACATCTACAAGAACTATATCAATTCAATAGGATGGCCCACTAAGGAGAAGACCAGACATCTTTTAGGTGCTCAGTAAACATCAGCTGCGCTCACTTTCCATGTCATCCTTACATTCCTAGAAGCTGTCATCTACAGTCACCAAACACACTGTAAGTTAGGATTGTAGTTTCATGCTGTGGTCTCTAATTCATTTCCTCCTAACTTCATTTACATTCTACTTTCAAAATTTATTCTATTTCATTTTGATATTTGATGTTTGTACCCATAATAAAACAAGAACTTAGACGACGAACTTCTGCTTCTGCATTGTGTTAGTTTCTTACTCACCAAGACTAAATGCCTGACAGAAACAACTTAAAGAAGAGGTCATTCAGCTCACAGTTTCAGGGTGCGGTCTACCATGAATCTGCAGTCAGAAAGCAGACAGCAATGAAGGCCTCAGCCTGCATTCTCCTTTCTATCCAGTCTAGGTCCCCAGCCCCAGGGATGGAACTACCCACATTAGGATGGGTCATCCCACCTCAACTGACTTAACCTAGCGATTCCCTCACAGACATGCCAGAGGCTGTTTCCATGGTGACTCTGGATCCTGTAAAGTTGACACTCAGACCAACTCTCATTCTATCCAATAGCACATACTAATACTTACTAGCTACCAGAGATCACATTACAAGAGAGAAAGAAACTTTACCATTAAAAGAGGAATACATTTTCACACATCTCTAGAAGTAAATTCTACCTATTAGCCAGATTTAATATCCATATTCAAATATTTCTATATTTTAAATCATTATCATATTATTTTTTCAAGATTTATTTATTTATTATGTATATAGTATTCTGTCTGCATATATTTCTACATGCCAGAAGAGGGCACCAGATCTCATTATAGGTGGTTGTGAGTCACCATGTGGTTGCTGGGAATTGAACTCAGGACCTCTGGAAGAGCAGCTGGTGCACTTAACCTCTGAGCCATCTTTCCAGTCCTCATCATATTTTAAAAAACAAAAATGTAAAAGCAGGGTGGAGCCTGAGAATGACTCAGTGGGTAAGCTGTGCAAGCATGAGGACCTGAACTCAGATCTCAGCACCCATGGAAAATAAAAATTTTTAAAAAACCTGCCATGAGCCGGCACACACCTTTATTCCCAGCACTCAGGAGGCAGAGGCAGGTAAGTCTCTGAGTTTGAGACCAGCCTGGTCTACACAGTGAGTTCTAGAACATCCAAGGCTACGTAGAGAAACCATATCTCAAAACATACACAAAAAAAAGAAAGAAAAAAAGCCACACAAGCCAACCTCGGCGTGACCATGTCCCTCTATAACCCCGTGCTGTAGGGACAGAGAAAGGGAGATTGCTGGTGTCTGCTGACCACCAGCCTAGCTCCAGCCTCAGTGGAAGATCTTAGAGCAAGGGAAAAGGCAAAGGATAGCAGAGCAGAAAGTTAAGTGGGGACAAAAATGAGGAAAAAAAGGAGCACTGTATTTTCCCAGGGAACAAGGCTCAGCCATCACTGAGCGGACAATTAGCAGGGTGATCACTGAGGACAAGGGACAAGACAGCCTATCTGCCTACTCAATTGCTAGTCAATCATTGATTCAAAATTGATGAAAGCCCATTCACCCATCATAAGGGGGGGGGGAAGAAAAGTAGGTATAAAATAGAATTAGTTGACAGCGGTTCAGAGCAATTTTTAAAGTTCTACATAAATTAGGAGAGTGAAAGAATTAGTCCATATATTCAAAGACTCTCTTGAAGTTTTCAAGCTAAAACTTAGAAAAGTAGTTACTGCTGAGCCCCAGGGGCAGCATGCACATATTCCTTCTCTTTGTCAATAGTTCACAAAATAGTCAATACTTCTATCTAAATTCCATCTTGACTAGATTGGCCACAGTTCAGGAAAAGGTTAGAGAAGTTTCCTCAGAGCCTGCCATGGCTCCCCTGGAAGTGCACAGAGAGGCTTACCCATACTCATCTTGATGGGCAGGTTTTCTCTGCTGGCTGCTTCCACTAGATGTCTCCGAACTTCCATCACGGCCTCCTTGTGCTTGGTGTTCAGTAAGGCTTCCCACAGGGCCTTGGCTGAGGCGTCACTACAGAGGAAGCACAAGACAGCTTAGAATACACTCCTGTTGGGAAATGGGAAGGACTGGAAGAAAAGGAAAATGTCAGCATTTCCTTATAAGCACTGATACAGGCATTCCCACTGGTAAGTATTAACTCGATACAGAAGAGCTCATTCATATAATGGGCAGACTATTGAGAAATTAAGGAGAGAACAAAATCAAGCCATAAGGGAGAAGAAAGGCTACAGTGTTCCATGAAAATATGAGAAAATTACGTATTAGATTTTTTTTTTGATTTTCAATTGAAAGTAGTTCACAGTGCAATTCATTGGTAAAGAAACATGAATGTCATATAAGCCGAAATTAAATGTAAGGCTAAAAATGACTTATCAATAATTACAAGCACTGTGTCAACTTGAGCCTGAGAAGCACAGAGAAATCCTCAATGAGGATTCTTGTATGGCTTCTCAATAGACTTCCTACCGAATAAGAATGAGGGCTTGCACTCAGGAGCAGGCCCTGAAGTATTCCACTCCAGGCCTTCAGCTGGAAGGATGGCACTTATGGAAGCCTTCACAATTATCTGTTGATAGCAGCCCCAAGCACTGCATTATGCAGGGTCTCATCTGGGTTCACTTCCCAGTAGCTCTCTGTCTCATCCGCCATGCTGTGTCCCCATTATAAATGAGTGCAGTGTTCTTTCCGGAAGGCCGCTGCCACAAAGCCAAGTATACACATTTGTAGTAACGTTTTCAAAACTCCATAGAGAGGAAACAAGGATGACTTCTGTCCTATCTCCACTTAAAGCCCCACTAACTCACACACTAACCTCTCAATAGAGGAGTAGGTCTTATTATCACCACTTTTCCATAGTGAAGTAACAGCTTTAAACACTCAAAACTATAACTCCTCTGATGGTTATCTTGGCTACAACTTGACACACTGAGTGATACATAGAAAATCAGTAAAGCACATTTTTCAATATCTGTGAGGATGTTTCCAGAGGGTCAGTAAACTGAGCAGGGAAGACCTGACCCGAATGGAAGGAACGCTGATTCTTAAGTGTGGGCATTCTGTCGCTGACGCCACTGCACAAGACTCTATGTTCAGCTTTTGAATGCACACTCACATCAGAGACTTACAAGAAGCTTCCAGGCCTCCATCCTAGGCCTTGGGCTAGACCTTGTCCCTCACTGATCCCCTACCTTGTCTGAGGCATCCAGCTTCTTTGATAGAGCAGCTACCTCTAGCTTTCCAGCTGCTCACAGCTATTGTGGGACTCTCAGTCTGCAAGTGTCTAAGCCCTTTTTATAATTACACACTCAGTCCTTGTGCTCCTCTAAAAGACCCTAACAGAACTCCGCATCTATTATCCTTAAATTTAAATAAACGAATGGGCAAATTACATGGCATGCCCTATATGTGGCTGGCATACATATGAAATAAACTTTCAATGACTTAAAATCTGGAAGCTTACATATTTATAATGCATAAGTAAAAACATTACAAAAATGTGATATGAGTCATGATTGATGAGTAAATAGATTCTATGCAAATATAATCCTATCTTGGAGGATAGGGGCTGAGAGAATAATTTCTACTATAAATAATAAACATAAGCTCTAAATGCAGCCAAAGGAAGAAGTTATAACTCACCAAAATAAGATAAATAATGGAGTATTTTCTCTGAATTTGTCAAATATTAATGGACTAGATATTGTGATGTAATTATTGCCTGTATATAATAGATATAGTTATACTTATTGTATATAGTTTTTCTTATATTAGTTATAACCTTCTTTTATTAATTTAGACAAAAAAGGGGAAATGTGGTAATATATTGTTTGTAATCTAGGAAGTAAAGCTTTCCTGAAGATCAGAGAACAGACCAAGCCACAGAGTTAGCCAATGAGGTCAGGCAGTGGTGGCATACACATTTAATCCTAGCACTCGGGAGGCAGAGGCAGAAGTCTGTCTGGATTTCTGTGAGTTCAAGGCCACACTGGGCTACAGGAGATGAAACCAGTCTAAAAGAGAAACAGAGCCAGGCAGTGGTGGCAGGCACACACCTTTAATGCCAGCACTAGGAAGGTTGAGACAGGAAGTGATATGGCTGCGCAGAAAAAGGAATATAAGGTGGGAGGAGACAGGAATTCACTCTTTTCAGGCTGAAGAGTTGGTGAGTTAAGAGGTAGTGGCTGTGCCTTGCTCTGTTTCTCTGACCTTTCAGCTTTCACCCTGATATCTGGTTCCGGGTTTTTGTTATAAGACTATTTAGGATTCGTGCAACAGGAAATAGAGACTTGGATATTCAGCCTCAGCTCACTGTCTCTTTTTTCAGTCTGGAACCTAGCCCTCGGGAAACTGCCACTCACATTCAGATGGTTCTTCTCTCCTACGTTAAACTTGCCTGAAACACCAACACAGACACATCTCTGGGTATGATTCTAAACCTCAAGTTGAGGATCAAGATTAACCATCACAAATCCACTTCTCATCAAGTCAATCCCCAAATATATCACTTTTAAACCTTAGCATCCCACTCGTGGTCCTCAAATATCCATGAACATTTTATAATGCACAATACATTTAGTTAATCTGTAAAAAGTCTTTCAAATGTTTACAGCTCTAATATTGCTCAAATGCCCGAAGTCCAAAGTTTCCTGAGACTCAAGGCAAAGATCACACAAAATCAAAAACAAGTTACATATTTCTATTATACAATGGCACATTCCAAAGGGGAAGAACAGAGTTATAGCAAGGAAATAGCAAACCTATGCAAACCCAAAACCAGCAGAGAAAACACCAGACCCTACAACTCTGTATCTAACATTTGGGGCTTTCGGTAGTAGTATCCTCTGGACTCCAGTGGACTGGAGAAGCCCCACCCCTCTTGTTTTGCTGCTTATAATAAAGCCCACAACACATGTGGCTCCTCTCATGGACTGGCTCCCTTCTATTTCCTCAGTGTATGGCTCATAGTCCTGGAACCTCCAACATCCAGGAGTCTCCACAGTAGCTTAGGCTTCCCGATCACAGTTTTATGTAATGGCCTCTTAGGACCTCCTTGCAGGGAATCCTGTCCTATTAGACACTGACTGGCCCCAGCAGCTTTCTATGATTTTGGTAAAAAGCCACTATGACCCTATATGCCTTGCTTGTGTGCCTAAAAACCACCACGATGTGTGGTGATACTGTGTTCCCCAATATATCGTGCACCCTAATAAACTTATCTGGGGTCAGAGAACAGAACAGCCACTAGACAGACATAGAGGCCAGAAAATGGTGGCACTCACACCTTTAATCCTATCACTTGCGAGGCAGAGATCCATGCGGATCTCTGTGAGTTTAAAGCCACACTGGAAACAGCCAGGCATGGTAACTCATGCCTTTAATCCCATGAAGTGAGCCTTTAATCCCAGGAAGTGATGGCAGAAAGCAGAAAGGTATAGAAGCATGAGGACCAGGAACTAGTGCTGGTTAAGTTTTTAAGCTTTTGAGCAACAGTTCAGCTGAGATTCATTCTGGATAAGGACTGAGAGGCTTCCAGTCTGAGGAAACAGGATCAGCTGAGAAATTGGCAAGGTGAGGTAGCTGTGGCCTGTTCTGTCTCTCTGATCTTCCAGCATTAACCCCAGTACCTGGCTCCAGGTTTGTTTTTTATTAATAAGAACTTTATTTTTTTTTTTTTTTTTTGGTTTTTTTCGAGACGGATTTCTCTGTGTAACTTTGCACCTTTCCTGGATCTCACTCTATAGACCAGGCTGGCCTCAAACTCACAAAGATCCGCCTGCCTCTGCCTCCCAAGTGCTGGGATTAAAGGCATGCGCCACCACCGCCCGGCTATTAATAAAAACTTTTAAGATCCATGCTACAACCATGTAGTGATGACATTACCAAATTCTGCTGCCAAGTAAAGATACAGTCTGATAGCCACCCATCCCACACATATACTTCTATTACAGCAGTAATGAATTCTATGTGTTATAGAAGCTTAACTTGGAAATATGGAGAAATCAAGCTGTCATTAGTCAGGAAGTTTCCTTCCTCCCTGGGCTAGCATCTGTAGTATTAGAAGGTGTTCTGCATACTTCTAGGGTTGGGGAAGAGAATACTCAACAGTCTTACCCAGCTGTGACCCGTGAGCTACAGTAATGATCGGTGTGGCAAGAAACGGACATGGGCGCAATAGCGGCAAGAATGCCATGGAAGGCCTGCTTCACCGGAGGAAACACATGCCTGGGACTATAAACCTGGTGAAGAACTGGGAACTCAAGGCCCCCAGAGGTGAACTCACTACTATTATTTTGCTAAATGGACATAGTATCAAACTAACCTCTAAATTCATTTTTTATAAGCATAGATTAGCACAGCTCTCAGACCTTATAAGTTAAGGGTTTGGGGGCAGTAGATGCTAGTTTGAATGTAATTAGCCCCCATAAGCTCTTAGGGAGTAGTACTATTAGGATGTGTGGCTTTGTTGGAGTAGGTATGCCCTTGTTGGACGAAGTGTGTCACTGTGGGGGCAGGTTTGAGATCTCACATATGCTCAAGTCACTCCCAGTGTCTCAGTTCACTTCCTGTTGCCTGCAGACCAAGATGTAGAATTCTCAGTTCCTTCTCCAGCCTCATATTTACCTGCACACCACCATGTCACACCAGGATGATAAAGGACTAAACCTCTGAACTGTAAGCCAACCCAATTAAATGTTTACCTTTTTCAGAGTTCCCATGGTCATGGTGTCTTTTCACAGCAATAGAAACCCTAACTAAGACAGAAGTTGGTACCAGGGACTGGGATATTGCTGTGATAGGCTAGAACATGTTTTTGTTTAGAGTAATTGGGTCAAGAAAGCAGTTGAATGCTTTAGACACTGCTTAATGAGCCATAATAGTAGGAGCATGGAAGATAGTAGTGCTAAAAGTTACTTGAACTGTGGGGGCCTGACTCAAGAGGTTTCAGAGGAGAAGATTATTAAGAATGTGGCCTATAGATTGTTCTTGTGATATTTGGAAAAATGTGGCTG